ATTCTCCCTTCTCTGTGGCTGTGGAAAAATTGCATTTGCCTTCCCTACAAATACAAAAGAAAGCTTCATGCTTGTCCGCCCTATTTTAATAGAAAGTTACAGCACATAGAACAATTAAGTCTAAATATAATGCATGAAATAAATCAGTACTGATTCAGACAAGCAATTAAACTAGTCTAGAACCAGGTAGCAGAATTATTCTAACTTTCCTAGTTTTTGCACGTAATAAATCCCAGCTCACTCTGAAATGACGTAAAGAGTAGTACTTCGAGCTTCATTGTTTTAGGAAGCTACCTGATTAAAGAAGAACTGCTCTTGGTTAATCAAGGAAGCTCTTTCTCTTCGACTACATTCTCATTTTGGGAAAGAACACTGTTATGGACTGAACTGTGTCCATCCCAAATTCATATGTTGAAGCCCTAATCCTCAGTGTGACTGCATTTGGAGATGGGGCCTATAAGCAAATAGCCAAGGTTAAATAAGGTCCTAAGGGTAGAGCCCTGATCCAGTGAGATCAGTGTCCTTATAAGAAGGACATTGGAAGGCTCAATCTCTTTCTCTACGTGAGGACACAGTGAGAAGTTTTCCATGTACAAGCCAGAAAGTGGGCTTTCCCAGAAAACAAATTGGCCAGCACTTTAATCTTAGATTTCTTAGCCTCCAGAACTGTGAAAAATAAATTTCTATTGTTTAAGCTATCCAGTCTGCAGTATTTTGTTATAGTAGCACAAGGTGACTATGACAGACACACATGTGATAAAGGACAGTGCACTGAGGGCAATGCACCCAGATGTCTCAAGAGTACTGAGACACGCCTGGAAAGCTATTTCTATGTTGTCTGATGAGCTGAGTGCCAAATGCATCATGGCTGAACAGTTGGGTTCCTTGTGTCTTGAATGATTCAGCCTTGCTTTTACACTATCATATGTGGACTTCCTGTTTATCCTGTGGATAACGGTTGATTTCTTCAATCTTTTTGCTGAGTCATATCAGTCAACGCTACATGACAAACTCTCATCACCTCTTGTGCTTTTCATTTTCTGATTTTAACCAGAAAATGTCTGTGTAACAGCCTATTAGAGTCAGCATATGGGTTTACACTGAGGCCGTTGATTTCTTCAATCTTTTTGCTGAGTCATATCAGTCAACGCTACATGACAAACTCTCATCACCTCTTGTGCTTTTCATTTTCTGACTTTAACCAGAAAATGTCTGTGTAACAGCCTATTAGAGTCAGCATATGGGTTTACACTGAGGCTTCTCCTGAGAACTTAGAAATAAGTAGAATAAAATTATCCTCTGAAAGTTAAAATTTTAACTCAATACATATTGGGTCAGAGCAGAGATACACAAAATCACTCTAAAGAGACATGGAGGTTCCCTGCTCTGCAAGCTAACTGTACTCTTCTTGAAGGTTAACAAATCTCAAGATGGAGTGTCCCACTCAGAAGGGGAAAAGGACAACCCCGGATATAGGAAAAAAGCATCAACACAGGCAATGGACCAGCAAGTACTGCAGGGGAAGGAAGGGAGGCTAGCCCCTAGACCTGCATTCGTGTCCCCTGGCAAGCCTGGCTCCGTTAAACACGCAGCTTACTTACCTGGTCTTTTTTTGATTCCACACTCCCCAAGCAAACTTCTGTGAGCATTTTGCTCCCTGTGGCAATTATTTCTCATTGCAAATTAATTAACATTTTGCTTTCCTACCTCTATAATTTTTTATTCTAAATTGAGGTAATTCAAATTTCTTCTTGAAAGACAAATTCATTTTTGATGTGCTGAAAAAAATCAAGTTTCAATCCCTGCGGTAATGAAAACCAAACCCTGAACCTTGGTAAATTCACCCACATAAAGAATATTAACTACCCCATGAGGCTTTTCAAGAGACCGACAGCATGCTTTTCCCCTTGAAAACAATCCTGGCATCCCTGCTTTGGCCACAGGCATGAAACATGCTCATATTTGGAGCATCTACATATTCCTATTCCTATTAGTGCTCTAATTATCTAATAATTCCAGGAAGTATTACAGTTTTTTTAGCTGTGTTCTATCTGGTTCATTCAGTAGCAGAGACTACTGGTTAGCTACTCAACAGCCATCTCTTTCTTTTCCTTGGTAACAAAATTCTGATTCTATTTGGGGCCACAAACCTGCACAGGCAAAAGCTGGCATCTTCTTGCCTCTCTCACTGCTAGTGGTGACCAATGAGAAGTAAGTGAAAGTCATTGGCTGCAGGTTTCTAAGAAGTTCCTTTAAAGAGAGCTGATTCAGCAGGAAGGAGTGCCCTTTTCCCCTTCTCCCTTCCTACTGCCTGGGTTGCAGATGTGATGGCTAGAGTTCCAGCAACAATGCTGAACCACGAGGCAAACCTGAATAGAAGCCAATTGCTAGTGACAGTGAAACAGGAAGAAGCCTGATGACCTCCATATCAATCTGTACTCTACCTGAGGACTTCTTTTACATGAGAAAAAATAAACATAAAATAAAATATTCAATCCACTCTTTTTTGGAGCTTTCTGTTATACATTCCCACCTAATCCCAATAGTAAAATCAGAAACCTAAAATATCTGTTCCTGATGTATGCTCCAAATGATGACAAGCATGTTGCTTTATGCCCTTATACCAAGACCCTCCAAAATTCTAAATGTCTTTAGCTTTCCACCTTGCCTATTTAAACAATAATTTATTCAGAAAAAGTAATATTTTAATCTTGTAATCAATAAACCATTTCCCCCTCACTGCTCCATCTATGGCTTAACATAGAGGAAAATGCCCTGACCTA